CTCCAGTTTGTTTGCAATTATTTCAGCTTCCTCCAGCATGCTAATAATTATAGAATAGAAGCTTTCAAAACAGCGAGCTTCCTGGAATCTAATTTTTTCTACTGCGCGCAACTTTCTCCGCATTTACCGTTGTGTGCCGCAATCAGGCGCAGCTGGATTGGCCATAACCACAGCTGGCGTATTATTTTCAATTAAACTTTTGCGCTCCACATAGCTTAGGCATTTAGTTATTGGACGGTTACCCACATTATGGCCAACAGCATAGCCTTGCTCATTATCAGTGCATACATTTTTCTACATTTTTCTATGTATATGTGTGTTAGCGCTGTGTTGCACACTGGCTTATCCTAACCGTGCTCATTCCCACAAAGACGTGCAGTGCTAGTTGTAAGTGTGTATCTATTTGAGTGCACATACATACAAGCATGCCAAATTGGATTTTGGTAACTTCATTTGCTGATCAGCTGCGGCCACTGGCGCAATAGGTGCAATTCTTAAGCCGCATCTTCTCGCTTTAAAATCGTCATTTCGGCACGCAGTAGGGCGCTCTACGCATTGGTTCTCAAACTAATTGCTGGTTTTTCAAACCATAAGCAATATGCTGGTCAGCATTTTTGTATGTATGCAGCTGTATTATGTTCGAAAACGCGTTTTCGAGTTGAAAAACGTTTAACGAAAATCTTTTAGCAGCATTGAAAGTTGCATATTTATTTATAAAACAATAAGCGTTAATATTACGTTTTCAATACGGTCAATTTCACATCATTTCCAATTGAAAAACGATAATCGAAAAAATTTTAACTGTTTTGAAAGGTGCATAATTATTATTAATAATTTCGTAATTATGTTTTTATCAATAACCGTTTTCAATACGGTCAATTTCACATTATTTCAACGCGTTATGCGAAATGCTCGCTATAACCAGCGCTTTCGATTGCGCTGTGAATCACGCGTGTGCAATCAAATCAGTGCAAATCTCACCGCCGCAGCATTAATTGCGCATATTAATGAATCAAAGCGCCGTTTTCACTCAACAAATACAACAAATTGTTAATTTATTTATGGCAAACATAATGCCGAGCAATTTCAGCGCACTCCATTTGTTAAATATTTATTTATTTTCATTTCGATTAATTTTTTTTGAAGCTTAAATTTATTTATATTTATATTTTTTTTTTTTGCACCGCTACACCCACCATATTTTCGCATAAATAAAACGGAGAGAATACCGTAATGTAAATATTATGCAAATTCACCAAACCCACCTTAACGTAACGGGGTCACGTGTTGCGATTGTTGCGATTCCATTAATTGCATGTGTATGCATGCATGTGCGTGTGTGTGTGGGTGTGCTTTTGCGCAAAATTTGCTAAATTAATTTTTTTTATTGTTTCGCATAATTAATTTGCAATTTATTGCAGCGCCATTTATTTTGCCATATACTTCTATGTGTATGTGCATGTGTTGGCGCAATTCTCTGATTATTTCACCAATATTTGTTTTAGCTGTAATCAAGTGTCGTGTTTGAACATCAGTGCAAATATTTAAATTTATGTTTGCTTACATATGTATGTATTTATGTATATATAATTTATTTATTTACCGTTTTTGCTTTAATTGCACTTCTTTGCAACTTTAAATACGCCATTCATTAAAGCAAACATTTATACACACACACATGTGTTCTGCTATAAAACTAATATTTGCCATTTTTCTATCAATAATTCACTAATACTTTTGCGATTTTTTTATTTATTCATATATAGAATATATTTTGGTATTTAAATAAATATTTAGTGAGCATTCGATTGATGCATTAGCCACTGTATTAATGAATATTCATTAAATACGCTGCTTAGTTTTAATTAGATTTTAATATGCTATTTGTGGCATGAAAGCCGTTATTTATTTATGATTTTTTAGTATAAATAATCCGCTGTTGGCTTTCTTTATATGTTTGTTGTTGTTTAAATAGCCATTTGTGGTGGTCGCCAAAGCAAAGCAGTGATTTGCTAATTGGTATTAATTTTAAGTGATTTCAGCAACACTCATGCAACATTGATTTACTAATGCAACATTTGGTCACTTATGCATTTTAATACTTAGTTAAAAATTGTGAAAAATTTACGCCTACTTTAGCGGCTTTGTGTGATAAATTTCTCTTACATATACGAGTACATATATATTTACCATGAGCCCCGCTGAGGTGTGCAATAGTGCGAAATTTGTTTCGGTATACCGAGCACCATTGCTAATTCGGGTATCGACTTTTTTCTTGTGAGCACCTAGCGAACTTATGACTGTGTTATCGCTGTAGGTATCAAGTGCCACGATGTGGATACCTGTCATTTAGTTTTCGAACAATTTCGAATTTCGTATTTTCGAAACCACAAGCAGAAAAACAGAAATGGTAAATTAGCACTTGTGGCTTCCACCAGCTGACAGAACAACTTGTACGGGTTATATTTATTTCTATACATTTGGAATTTTTACAAAGAAATTTTAGTATTTCCAATAGCTATTTGAAGTTTTACTAAATTTTTTGCATTTCGAGCGTTTTATTATGCAATTATACTCAATATGTACTCATATGGCCACCAAATTTCCTTGAAGCACAGAGATTCTGGTTTTCTAAATGAACACATGTCAAACATTCAGGAATCCTCACACGCTTTGACTTTTTACCAAATAATAGATTGTCAAAAAAGTCTTGCGGTATTATTTATTTATTTATTTATTTTTTTTTATTTTATAACGGTTTGATGACTCATGCCCAGCTCTTGACCGATGCTATGGCTGTTACTATGCCGATCTCTTTCGACCAATTCAGCGATTTTATCGCAATTTTCGACAACAGGCCTTCCGGAGCGTGGCGCATGTTCGACCACCTCTACACCAGAACGAAAACGTTGAAACCAACGTTGTGCGGTGGAAATGGAAACTGTATCGGGTCCATAAACTGCACAAATTTTATTGGCGGCTTGAGATGCATTTTTGCCTTTATCGTAGTAGAACTGTAAAATATGCCGTATTTTCTCATTATTTTCCTCCATGTTTGTGACGCTATAACTCACGAACGACTTTAAAGAAATGAGAATCAATCAAACACGTGTTAGCTCGTGAAATGAGCTTTCTAAAAAGGTATAGCATGACCCAATGCGACGAATAAAACTAGAACTACGCCCTCTCAGCGCCAACTAGCGAAAATACCGCAAGACTTTTTTGACAAACTAATATTTGGATCACGTAGTCGCCTAATCAAACTCTGGCGGCTCTTTCTCTTTCCACATAACTGCAAGCGAGTTGTGGATGGGTAGAGCCGTCGGCGGAGAGGTGCAGCGAACTTCTTTACGGATGGATCAAAGCTTAGGGGAAGGTTGGATAAGGGGTATATTGTCAGGAACCCTTTGCTAACTTTAGTTTCAGGCTTCCGGAGTTACTTTATTAAACTTTCGGTAGATTTGCTGCTCAGGAGTAAAGTTTTCTTCAGAGCACTATATACTCCGATATCACTAACCGTGCGTTCAAAGCTGTTTAAGGAATACCTAACCTCGTTACGTAAGGCATCGAGTCACTCATAACAGAATTGCAAGTAACTGTAAAGCTAACGAGTTGCTAATGAAAGGTATCCTAAACCCACTATCAGTATAATGGGAACGGGTCGGTCCTCCTTATCTCATGTGTTCCACTACTGGTTAGTTAGTATTCACAGGAGCACGGCCGGCTCTGAGCTATCATCGGCTCATACGCTGTTGCAATATTCCTTTGGCTGAAGATCAATCATAAAAGATCCAGTGAGTCCTTTGCTTTCAGTAAAGTTAGCCTCTCCCTAATTATGCGGGTTTTAAAAGGTCATTGCCTTATCGGCATCCATGTTGTTAGGCTGGGAGTCTTACCAGATGCTAAATGCATAAGTTGTGTGGAAGGAGACGAACTGGAAACTTCTCAACACTTCCTTCCGATATAAAGGGTTAAACACTTGGAAGCTCATATTCTCAGACATCACACCGAAGTGGTGAGAATAGAAATTAAATGGTTGTGCAAATTAGTATTGCTCAGTAGACACTTTGCTTACTTATAATCCTCCTTCTCCTTTAATGGCTTCACAAAGAACTGCATATAGTAGTCGAAGTGCGATCTCTGGATCAGCAATGTTACCTAACATAACTTCACTTCTATATATTCAAATATTATCATTTTTATTTTTCACTGTTTGAAACGTTTATCTAGAAGTCCATTCATCAGCCTTCCAACAACCTGCAACATACTCTTCAAAATGTGAAGCTCTAGTTCGCGCACGTCACGAGGCTATTTTGCGAAATTAGTTCGCGCCTTCTCCCAAAGCGCCCAACTTTCTCCGTTTTACACTGATTTTGATAAGCGAGTAGAAAAGAATGCGAAACTCGGCTAACGCTTTTGAAGCTAACAAGATTTAAGCTATAAAATACAAATAATTTGTTTCTTTACATGTTCCAAAATCTTGGTCATTGGTATTACCTTTAATACCTTGTCATACTACCTTCAAAGGTAGGTAACTTTCTTACATTTAAATAAAAAAATTGTTTTGCGAATAATTAAAAAATATATAATCAAGACACCTATAGTAAAAACTAGTTTGCAAAAAACATTTAAATGATTTTGCCGAAAATGTAAAGATTATATTGAAAAATGTCTCAAAGGTGCTCGAAAAGTTAGCGGCTACTTCATGTACATATATCATCATATTTGCCTTCTAAATCCTCTAATTCTTCGAATCACTAACGAGTAATTCATCAAAAATAAATGTATGTCATAAATTTTCCAGCTGCCACAGTCGTAGCAAGTGCAACACTAGCATATGTACAGAGTAGTTTATATATATACATAAATAAATATGTGCACCAAAGCGACCCTTCTCTGTTTACACTATTAGCCTATTAAAGTGTTAACAAATTTATATTACTCCATACATGTGCACAATCTAATCTAACTATGTTAAATACACTTACATATTTACTTACCACACACTGTGCGCCAACAAATGAATCAAAATTTTCCCTTCTATTTTTCGATTTATGTTTTTGTAGTGGTTAACTGCAAGAAAGAAGAGCAGAACAAAGGGAAGCATAAGAAAATGAATTAACAATGTGAACTGATACTTGAAATGCACAAAAGATTTCGAAATCCTTGGCTGTCAAATATCAATCATTATTATCCTTATGAGATTTGAACAATCATTATGCGAAGCGCGCAGATATGCGAGTCAAAAAACGCCATTACCACATGCGCACGTGTTTCTATTTTTATGGCTGTACACATACAAATGACTATCAAATATTTTCACACACACACACACACATGCGTACAATAACAAAAACGCGTTCGCGTGCATGCATTCTAAGGCAGATAATATAATGGAACAGCGTCATAAAACATGCGACTTCTAAATGTGCTTATGATTATTTTTATAAGCATGTAAGTGTCTGAATTCTGTAGGGATAAACAACTCCTTGTAAGCGATCAGGTTACCAACTTTGCCTCGGCCTGAGTGTGCGCGTGTGTGTGTGCCGTTTTTATTATTACTTCTCGAATTCATAATGTGCTTGGCCTTTGTGCGCATAAACCATTATAAGTTGGTACTTTCAACACATTCCAAAGATTCTTTTATTTTCATATGCGTCCTCTCAAGTGTTTTTCTATACCGTTTGGCGCTGGGCCCGACCGCAGGGTTATCACAACACATGCCTCATGCATAATAGGTATGACCGACGAGGGCGTAGGAGTTTGTATATGGGTTTTTTCGCATATCATATTTCGAGTAATAGAGATAGTAATCGAATAGTTGTGTACAAAAAGGCGCGGTTGCTTGTTTAACGGTGAATTTTGCTACAAATTTTGAAATTTGTTATTTGAGTATTAGATCTTTAATATAGCAGTAATATCTTTTTGTGGATTTCCTCTAAATTTTTATTGTTGAGACAAGCCTGACAATTGAAAAACTTGACGGATTTAGAGTTTAGAATTATGGAGATTCTGTTTTTATGGTTTTTTTTTAATACAATTAACACAAATGAGGCTTATTGAGACTTGTATTACAGAAGCTTCACATAATCAACGAATATATTTGAAAATTCTTTAAATACTGATAAAATATATATTTAAGTTTTTCGGCATATATTTTAGTAAACAATCTTAAATATAAAAACGCAGATTTTTGAAATTTTTTTGAAGAGACAGACCTTAATACTTGATATTTTTTGTGCTTTTGCTTGACGGATGCACTTTAAAAATATGTATGTATGAAATAATTTTCTGGGTCAAATCTAACTTCAAAAATCGAATGTAAATTGTAACTAACTCTGTACCGAGAAAAAAAAAATGTAACTATTTACGTACGGAACTAGCCCGTAACTAGTCTATCTATATCATCTATAAAAAATTAGTAATTATTAAAAAGTCAAACAGTTAATTTTCGTTTTAACTTTTTTACTTCATTTGGTAAAATTGTAACTAGTTACTTTTCGAACTAAACTGTAACTAGTTTCCGTTGTAGTTAGTTCCTTTTGTCAGTTCCCAACTTTAGAGAAACTATTATTATATTTGCTCCGGCAAAATTTTAACTAGTTACTTTCCAAACTAACCTCGAACTAGTATCCAATTACACACCAAATGGTAATTCCACCTGCTGAGCCATACACGCATTAGAGTCACTGAGTGTCTCGAAAGGCAAAGAAGCGCAAATTATTCATGGCTCTAAATTCGTCTGAACCTTGGCCATAAATGCTTTATGTGTTTGCTTTTTTTTTCTTATGCAACGCCGGCTTTCATGTCACCTCTTCCCGGCTGTTTATACAGTTAGTTTATACACAACATTTTTTATTTCCGATTTTAATATTCGTAATAAATATGCACACGCCAACTCATACACACAAACACTGGCATGACCCGACGCATTTATAGCGCGAACGAAGAATTATCCTAAAATGGCACTTTGCATCTCTTCAAGTGTTATTCTTACTGGTTTTCCTCTGCTTATTTATTCTCTGTACTGTTTCAATAAAACGACTTTGTTAGGCACCGCTTTCGCTTTTACGCTTTACCCAATGCTCGCCGGTTTATTTGCTTTTACAACAAGTGTTTTGTGTCCGAGAAAAACCGACAAGCAAATATCAATAAAACTGCATCGCTGGCTATATATGCCGGGGAACAAGTGTATATTTATCCTCTTTCATCGCTTGTGGTTGTTGCTTGCTTATTTATTTGTTCCTTGACTTTGGATATAATGCTTTTTATGGGTTTTTTTGTTTGCGTCAAGGTTTGTGTTAATGTTTATATGTTAAAACATTAAATACACAACAAAATGCGATAATAATAAATTCTGTTTGACAGGACTTTGTTGGCGGCAAGAAGAGATAAAAAATTTACATACATATATTCGAGGCACTGAGCACGTGTATGCGATCCTATATATGCATATATATTATTACTAGATGAGTATACAAACACATAAATATTAATGAATGTTGCTATATGAAATATACTGTATAATATTAAGCAACTTAAATCAAATGTTAGGCCTAATAAACTATATAATTTTAATACCTTTTCCATTTATAGTTCAGTTTGGCTTCCAAGAAGGTCTCTATGCCCACATACAATCTTTTTATGCTTTATATATGTATGTACGTAAAGTTTTCTTGCGTACATTTGTAGAAATTGAGCGTTTAAAGTGAGGTTAAAGGTTAATATTCTACGTATCTAGTTGACATTAGGTTGAAAGTGGAGCATGAACCAAATTGTTTTCTTGTAATTATATCAATTCCATCTTGAAATCGTTAAAGTTATATGTCATCAGATAAAAATGTTTACGTTTGATGATTATGAGCAATATTTTTTTTTTTATTTTCCTTTTTATAATAAAAAAATGGTAGAGCAGGTGCAGTTGCAAGTAGTGGGCGTCGTTTGTTTCCTTCACTCACCTGCAACTTCATTTTGGTTAATTTATGTTTTGATAAAAGGCCTGGTGCAGAAAAAATAGTTGTAAATACTTAACTGGTCATAAATAAGGTATTAAAAGGTGAGAAAAGCCAGCTTAACATGAAAAAGAAGCTGAATAGATAAGGCAATTAGACATATTGCCCAGGTACAGACGAACTTGCAGCTATAAATAAGTCTCGTTTTTTTTTTTTTCGTTATAGACAGTGGCTTTTAAGCGCGCATGCCACAGCTATACTAACGTATATAATTACTAATTTTTTACATAAATACATTTTTTTATAAAAATAAAATTAGTAATGGCTTAGTTTAAAAAATTAATAGTTACATTTTATTCCCAAATACAACTAGTTACATTTTATGTCCAAAAGTAACGGGTTCAATTTTAATCCGAAAAGTAACTAGTTCAATTTTGTTCCGAAAAGTAACTTGATACATTTTCAAAAGTTTCCGCCGAATAATTGTAAGCGTTAAATAAAAGAGAAAATACTCTAAATATCAGATTAAGGATAGCTGAACCCAGATATCTATATTACGAACAAGGTGAACTACATACTATTTGCTATGATATCTATTCTGCAAAACTTTAACATAGTTCTATTACGCAATGTTATTTTTTTTTTCTCGGGCTATCAAAAAGTTAGTGCATTAATTGCGCCCTGTTCTTTAATATGTCAACAGATATTATTTAAAAAAAAATATATATATATGTATATGTATACATGATACATAATACATAATTGTAATATTATGATTAAGTTCTGAAGCCGCTCATCCTTTCAACGAACATGCTATTCAGTCTTCTCTCGATGGGGAATATTATTTACACGCTTGAAATGCTAATCTGGACACTGGAGTCTACTTCGCTGAAATTGATTTTAAAAGCATTGCAGCCGCAGCTGCACCATTATACACCCACCATCGGCAGCACTCACTCTTTTCACTCTTCTGCGTTATCTATGCATCATCAATTATTCTGATATTATTTTGCATAATTTTCATAATATATAGAAATCAACTGGAGTCTTTTCACAAAGCGCAAAGAGAATTACAGAAGAATTAATAGAAACGCCGTTGGGAAATGCTGAGATTCACAAAGCGAATGAGGGGAGCAACGCCGGCAGAAAGCCTTTGCAACACACACGCACGAAATCACAAAAACAAAGTATTACTTACATCAAAGTGTAGCAAATTTTGATGGGAGTTAGAAATTCGTGTAAAAAGTAAGAAGATTTGCCTATCAGTTATATCAGGATACGTGAATTCACAGCTAACACACCGGAGGGTGAGTGCGCGTTCGTTTGACGGCACTACTGTTGCCGCTGGTGTGCTTTCACAATGCGAATTTACATAATTTAAATCAATGTATGCATGGCAAGGTGGGGCGCTGCTATGCACCCAAATGATATTCTTACGAAATTCGAGGGAAATCAGGTGAAAATAAGATATTAAGTAGCTTCGATACGCAGTGTAATGGCAGCGGTGTGCGCTACGGAGCTTTCAAACTTCTTATATACATATGTATAAGTATATAAATATTTAAAGAAAATGTATGTTTGCACGTGAGTGTGTTTTCTTGCGTCTAAAAATGTGCGCTAGCAAATTGGCAAGCATTGCAAAGCAATTCGATAGCTAAAATTACTACCTAAGTGTATAGGTATATAAATATGTGAGTGTGTGTTTAGAGATAAGTGTGTGTTTATTTATAAACTTAGCTGTATTTGACAACGGCATGGGCGTACGCCTGTAAGTATGCTAACAAATTTCGTGGGGGATGAAGAAAACTCATCTTTTGCTGCCTTAATATAAATTGGAAAAACTTCGGATGAGAAACAGACAAACATAAAAACAACAAAAAAAAAAACAATAAAGTAAAAGTGGATTTAAAAGTAATTTCCATGAGCGAAATAACATAAAATTTATTTTTACGAAATTTCTTTGCAGGAAATGATAAAAATATTTGCACTTCTCCATAATAAATTGTCAGTCAAATGAAGTGGAGTATACACAAGCGCATAACTTCATTCCCGGAAAGACAAAAGGGAAAAAATTAAAAATAACAAAAAGTTAGTGTAATGCCCTAAGCACACTCACTGCTG